GGGGTTTTTTGTTGTTCTCCCGCCCTGGCAGGGGGTCGGGCTAGAAGATCTACTAGGTCCCTTCCGACCCTTAATCTATGAATCTATGTATGCACTTACACACACACAATCTCTTTCGCCTTCCTCTTTTCTCCTTTCTCCCTGCCCGCTTCCACATGCTAAATCAGTAGCTGTATTACTGACACCCAGGTAAAGTTAAGCAGGCACTATCCTAAATTTAAAACATTTACAGAGTGGAAAAAATATACCATGTGTGAATGACATTTAAAAATGGTCCCAGGATATCTGTTAAAAATGAATCTCCAGCATCACTCAAAGTCAGTAGAGCCAGAGTGTCTCTGGAGAGCAGCTGTGCTCAGGGGGTTTGCAGCAGTGAGTTTGAAAGAGTACAGTATTGCTTTACAGCCCTTGGACCCCACCTACCCCCAGCCATGTCATGCAGAGGAAGAGAACATGAGGGGTTATCATGGAAATATTTCTACCAATGGAGTCATGGAATGTGGGCTAGGTTGATTAGGAGCCGGCAGAGATGCTGCAACTTGAGCCATTTAAAAACTGGATTAGGAAGCACTGCAGAAAGTATGATATGAAGTGTCTTGCATCGATGAGTTCTATCTACTCAGAAGTTAACAATGGGAAAGGATTCTTATGACCTCCTCCCCTGGATCCAGGTGATCACACTGCAGGAGTTGGGTGCACTGCTGGTGCTTTGCTAGCTTCAAGTCCTATAAGAGAACTGGGGAGAGTTGCCAAACACAGAGTGAGGTTGTGCTGGAGGAATTTACTGTGTTTGATTCATAGTGTCATTAATTGGCAGGCAACACTGCCGGTGTTCTGCTATCGTACCTGGGTTTTCCACACAAGGCAGGACTTGCCTTACAGCTTTTGTTTTATTTGGTTGCATCTTGTAAGCAAAAGGTTTGTTGTTCTGTTGGCCAGAATCCACCCTCCTCCTTCCAGATCAGGAGAGGGGGTGGTTTATAGCTCACAAGGTTTCTGTCTCCATCTTTGCTTTCAGGTTCTTTCACTTAAATGCTGTTCATGTGTGGGATCTCAGTATTTTTTTCATGTCGGTGAATGGTGTTACCTCTGCTTTACTAATGGGAGAACTAAGGCATAGGGCAGTGAAGTGTCTTGTCCATTGTCACAGAGCAAGTCAGTGACAGAACTGAGAGCAGAACTTTGGTCATTTTGCGTTTGGCCCATTGGGCTCTGGAGCTTCCCACACAAGCACTCTTTGTCTTGTAGTTGGGGAACCTCTATGTTCTGTTGCCTACCATAATCTTTCCATTGCATCTTTGAGCCAGCACCCATTGGAGAGTACTTTTGTCTTACCACGCTATATGTTTCTCTCCACTGCTTATTTCATCTATGTGTGTGTGTGCATATGCTGAATTCCCAAGATAGGACAAAAGGGACTTTCCTGCCAGTGTAGTGCTGGGGAGTGTTGTGCACCAGGCAGGAACTGCTTTTCCCCCATGGCAGATTTGTCTCATCAGTTTACTATCATATCTTTCTGGGTGTGGACATATGAACTGTTGTCTCTGGAGCATTGTCCAGTTTACTGTGGAGGAAGGGTGGAGCAGATCCACAATTCACAACATTTGTTCTGAGGGAAGTGCTCTTCCCTGGTGTTACATTACTTCCAAAGTAGTTGGGTATAAATTTACACCAGAAAAAGTTCTCTGACATACGTGGCCTCCCTGTACCATTGACATTTTCATTCTGTGGTAGCCCTTTGCTGAATGCAAACCAGCTCAGCTGCCACCCACCTAGTGGCCATGCCTTGTAATAGCACCTACTTTTGGGCCGCCTGCTTGGGATAGCTGGTCATATGTCTGCTCCTTAATCCAGGGTAAATGTACTCCAGAGCAAAATCTGGGTAAATGACTCCAGAATAAATAAGTTGTATGTCTATCCTTTGATATAAAAAACAAGGAACTATTTCAAATCAATTTCACATGCAGTTTTTTATGGAGAGAGGCAGGAAACTATTCCTTTCAGCATTTTCAACTACCCCTGTTCCAGTAATGCCCTCACTTGAATCAGCTGGGAATCCTTATGGAGCTGTATCCCATCAGCTTGTATGAGTCTACACACTTCTTTCTCACCCTCTCGTCTCTCTCATTTCCTATCCACACACATCATGGACATCCAGTTCACAGGCTAAGAACAGTGTGGAACTGGGGTAGTGGATGATTTGGGCACAAGGTCACTGGTTCAAGTCCATTCCAGAGTGGCAGAAAGGACGGGCTGCTTGTGGTTTGGCACATCTCACGCTGGCAGTTTATCTACTGGCAGTTGGGTATCTGGTGTAAGAAGAGTTCTCTGTGTAGTTTCCAGTGGCAGCAGCCCACAATTTTTACTCCCTTAGGCAATGTCAGCCAAGATTAGCTGACACTTGTAAAGCAAACTACCCCACTACCCCAACTGGGTGCTGCCGACCTGAGGCTGAGGTGTGTTGGTGTAAGGAAGCTTGTTTGCTGCTTGGCAGCACTGTGCCTGTTTTGTGGAGCTAGGGGTTCAATCACCAGGGCTGTTAATCTGCCACCTTTTATTTAAAATATTTGGGAGGTGCCATCTGAATAACAATTGTGCTTTATTGCTCTCCACTGCCCTCTGCTTTTCAACTTTGGGATTGTCAAGGAAAGTTTCAGACAAAGCAGGGTGGCAGTTTTCACGTTGACTGGAGTGAGATCCAGCAAGCTCATCTCTATCTTTCCAGCTGGATTCAGAACCATGTTCTGATGTTTCTAGTGTCCACTGGCCGCAACTCGTGTTGTCTCTGTTCCATCTCCAGTTGACTGCAATGCCGTATTGATGGGTTCCTTCCCCTCTTACGAGCCAATGCAAGGTGAAATCTCTGGGTGAATGGGAGCTCTGGAGAGTGCACGTGGCAACTGAGTCTCTGCTGGGTGACATTTACCTCCTCAAATGTTCCTTTGTAGAGACGAAGCTTCAGGGTTTTGTTACCTGAATGATGTTGTCCTGGGTATCCTGAAACTCCGACAGAAGTTTGACCGCATCCTCTACATTGACTTAGATTTGCATCACGGGGACGGTAAGGCCACAGCATGGGTAGAAAAGCCATCCATACAGTGCAGCCCTTTAAGCTCTGTGGAAGCTGGGAGAGGCAAGGGGCTGTTGTTGCAGTAGAGATGACCTGCAGCAAGAGCAGTGGCATTTTCTTCAGTTTTTTTACATCTATGTGACCTGAATTACAGGCTGCCCCTTGAAGCTCATCTTGTCCCCAGACCTGGCTCTGCATTATTAAAATGCATCCTCTGTTCTGAGCAACATTCTGATATTTAAAGCAAGACTTCCTATATTAACAACTTGTTCTAAATCTAGCCATCTGCTTTGTCAGGGGCCGTCCAGTAAGTGGATTTCCTCATGGTCCTTTGCCTTTGTCTCTGGGTCCAGAACAACCAGTGACAGCGCTTTTAATTGTTTAGTACCATCAAGACAGGCTTTAGTATTGAAGCAGCCAGGGTTAAATGATGCCTTTTTAAAAAAAAGTATTTTGATGCTATAAAACTGAAGTCAGAGTGGACCTTGACTGCAGCCTCTCTCTGCATAGGGGATGTTATTTCAACACCATTTAACATTTCCTGCCCTTCAGACTTTTATGGTGTGTTTCATTTTGGTCTGTTTTCTCCTTACATTTGGTTTGTGTTAAGTCTCCTGTAACTTCACCCCCCACCCTTTTTTATATCAGAGTAAAAAAATCTTGCTTGGTTTGTAGGGCTTTGGAAAGTGAGGAACCAGGAATTGTTTCTAATTGGGACCAGGCCTTTGCCGGGGCACTATGAATCAGAGCTCCCAGTCTGCCCCCTGCCCTTTCAGTCTGAGCAGCCAGTACCAATGCTGCAGGCCTTTGCAGTGGCTTGTGATATGGAAATACGTTCACTAATGAGTGAGACCAGCACAACTCATGTCAGTTGTGACCCATGCTACATTTGTTAAGGGTGAATTTAATGTGCGGTTATCTGCCTTATATTATTGGCTTCTTCCCTGCTCCCCTTGCTGCTGCCTGCTTGTTGATACATATTTTGGTGTGTTCTCTGTAATGGTGCCTTATATAAGTGATGTCTCTGTTTTTCTGTCTCTTTTTCCTTTGACAGGTGTTGAAGATGCCTTTAGTTTCACTTCCAAAGTCATGACTGTCTCTCTTCATAAATTTTCTCCAGGATTTTTCCCAGGCAAGTGATCTTATGGTTTCATTAATTAGTCTTAGATTACCACTGGGACCACAGCAGAACTTCTGGTCTGCTGATGAGTCCTGTTCCTTTTAGCCTATCTAGGTGTTTTGCCACCCATCTGTGTTTGCATGCACTCTTTACCTATCAGAATAAAACAGGAGCCCTGTATCCTCAGCTTCTTCAGCCTTTCAGACACCAAACCATCCAACTGAGAGCACTCTAAGGTCTGTTCCACCATGCAGGCTTGTTGTTTGGACTGGTTTCCCAGTGCATGGCAGAGATAAGAGTGCAGATTTTCAGTGGTGTTTTGAGGCGTCCCAAAGGAGCAGTGACAGCAGCTAATTCAGCAGTGGTAGGGATGCAACAAGGCACCTTAAAACAACATACTGCCACTTGTTTCACCTTTCATACAAGGCTGGCCATTCATTTCCAATGTGCAAGTTAGCTTTTTTTAAGGCCAGCAAGTCAACTCTGCATAAAACATAATGAAGTTAGTGAAAGCCTGGCACAGCAGGCCCAAAGAACTTGTGCCTTCCCCTTTTGCCTTAGTTTAGTTCTGGTTTTAGACATCCATGGCTGTGTTTGTATCTCCACAGCGGCCCTTCAGATGCTATGCAACCTATATACACCTTAGTCTTCAAGGTGTCGAGCACTAGCCCCATTCAAGCAAAGCTTTTATGCATATGTCTGACTCTCAGCATTTGAGTGGTCATTGGGGCTTACTTATGCACTTAACATGGAACATGTTTAGGAGCAGTCTTGGGTTAGGGCCAAATATTATGCCTCTGAGGCTGAAAATTCACTGTGCATATAGTGGTATCATCTGTGATGCCAGCTGGGAGCACATTTAGGCTTTCACACCACGGTCCAAGTCCTCAGCTGGTGTAATCCAGCATGGCTCCGTTGAGGATCTGACAGGATTGGGGCTCCATTCTGCTATGGAAATCCTGAGGGCATAGCTTTACTGCCGAGGTAACTTCAGTGAGTAAGAGCTAGGAGTGAGCATGCACTGCCATAGCCTAGTTAGTGTGTCCATCCCAACACTGCACTAGGAGTCTGCTGTCCTGGCCTGTGCCTCTTCATGCTTCAGTAAGCTGCTCCCCACTGTGATTTTCCACAGTAAATTGTGAGATAACCCAGTTGGCTCAGGATAATAGACAAGTTATCAGGGGGAGGGCATTAGAGGAGTATTAGCTCTGGAGGGGCTTAGCAAGGGTGCTCACTATAACATAGGTGGGTTACCAACCCAAGTGGAAGCAGCTCTTGTGTTTAGAAGCAGCCTGGGCTGAAAGCATCACAAAACTGGGATCAGATGGTGTTGTGTGTGAGTTAATTCTGCCGTGAAGACGTAGCCATAGTGAGAGGTAGACCCTGCCGTGTGAACAATACAGTCTAGCTCGGCCAGGCAGTTATTTCGGGCGGAGGGCTGCTTACCCAGTTTTGGCAGGCTGTTGAGGGCTGCATGGGTAGCCCCGCCCCTTGACATGTGCCCCGCCCCCTGGTCACAATCTTGGGACCAATGTCCCAATGTCTTTGGTCCCAAGACATTGGGACATTTGTCCCATGTCCTAGGGCCAGTACCGGTGGGGCCCAAAGTGGGGCACAGGCTGGCAGTGGTCTGTGGAGTCAGGCTGGGCTGCACCAGCAGGGAGAGGGGGGAGCTGATCTGGCTCGATAGAGCCCCTGCTGGCTGCGACCCCATGCTCCCGCCACCCTGCTCTGGGCCCTGCTGGCACTGGCCCTAGGACACTGGCGCAGGCGCTGTGCTCCTGCTGACTCCCTTTCCACTTACTCCCAGTGTCCCCCAGCCCCGCGGTACAGGTGGGGGGGTAGCACACAGCCCTGACCCCCTGCTTGCTGGCAGGGAAGAAGCTGGTGCTGAGCGTGGGGAAAAGCGGCCCCTTGCCCGCCCCGTGGCTGGCGCTCCCTGCTGCAGGCACTCACAGCCTATGTGGGGCTGTCCTGAGCAGCACAGGCAGCCCCATGCGGGCTGCAAGCGGCTGCAGCACAGGGCACTGGCCACGGGGTGAGTGAGGGGCCTCTTCCTCGTGCTCAGCACCAGCTTGTAACCTAGCCCTGCTGCCAGCTTGGGCTCTGCGCCGGTTCTGGGCTCGCCTGTCGGGGCTGCACACAGCAACAGCAGCTGTGGCCCCCCTGTGTGCCATGTCGGGCGCTGTTGGCTGCTGCTGCCCACCTGGAGCTCACGTGCTAGGCAGCCCAGAGGTGGCGGTGGCAAACACTGCTCAGCGTGGCGAGCGGGGGGGCTGCAGCTGCTGTCACCACGTACAGCCCCAACAAGTGAGCCTGGAGCCGTGCGGGGCCCAGGTTAGTAGTGGGGCTGGGTTACGAGGTGGTGCTGAGTGTGGGGGGTGGAAAAGCGGCCCCTCGCCTGCCCCGTGGCTGGTGCCCCATGCTGCAGCTGCTTGCAGCCCACCTGGAACTGCCTGTGCCTGTTCTGGACAGCTCCATGCAAACAGCTGCAGCAGGGAGTATCGGCCACGGGGCAGAGAAGAGCTGCTTTCCTCCATGCTGGGAAGGAGCAGGGAAGGAGCCCGGGGAAAAGCTGAGCACGGTGGGGGAGGCGGGAGAAGCAGCCCCTCCCCTGCCCTGTGGCTGGCGCTCCCTGCTGTAGCTGCTCACAGCCTGTGTGGGGCTGTCCAGAGCAGGCACAGGCAGCCCCAGGTGGGCTGTGAGTGGCTGCAGCGTGGGGTGCTGTCCACGGGGCGGGCAAGGGGCCACTTCCCCTCCCCCCACTGTACTCAGCTTTTCCAAGGGCCACTTTTGCCCGGGTTCCTTCCCTGCCTGGGATCCTCCCAGCTGGGGCTGCAGGGCCCTGCTGTTGTGGGAGCCTGCCGAGGCTTCCCCTGGGTCTTACTGCCCTTGGTTCCTGTCATTTTTGACACAAACCAAGGGCAGAGAAATATTAATTTTCTAAATTTTTTAGGGGCTCCACGGGCCAGATAGAATGGCCTTGCTGGCTGGATCCAGCCCACAGGCCGTATTTTGCCCACCCCGGTCTAGCTAGTCTAGACTAGCAGAGTGAGAGAGGAAATATTACCCCCATACTACATATGGAGGAACTGAGCCCCAGGGACCAAGGACATGCGTGCACCACCTCTGTGTGGTATGGGGGGGCTCCATCATGTAGTGTGTCATACCCTCCTACCCCAGCTCCTCACATGCTACCTCCTGGAGGGAGGCAGCCTAATCATACAGAGTGGCCATGTCTGCACACAGCTGCTCTGCTTCTGGCACATTTATTGGTACATGTTCAGCACTATTATAGGGCAGCTGGGCTGAATTGCTTCCAGGAGCTGACATGTGCAGAATAGAAGAGAGGGTGTGAGGCTTTTCCTTGTGGCAGTGCAGTACAAAAAACCATGTAGATGAGCCCTGAGTGACTTGCCCAAGGACATCTGAATCTCCTGAGTCTAAATCCCATGCCTGAGCCACAGGACTACCTTCCCCTTTAGCAGCTTGGAATGTGGTAGGTACATGGCTTGTGTCTAGAGGTTCACTAGTTTCTCTCCAATGTAACTTTCCACTCTGCTTCCTGCCTCAATCACCACAGCTTGTGTAGAGAATTCCTCTGCCACTGTTGCTTAATGCTCTGAAGCATCTGTCTTCAAACAGGAACTTTGTTGGGGGAAGACAGTTTGCAGAGCTTAAATCTGCATTCCAGCAGCTACCTGTGGGCAGCTATCATCCAACAAAATAACTCGGGTTCCCCCATATAAAAGGCTGTGTGCCAGCTTCTCTGATTACGCTACACATCAACACTTCCCATCCTATACAAAATATCCAGGACCTGTTCATTCTCAGAGCTGATTCCATTTGCCTTTTAACTGTTTGTGATAGATTTGTGTTTCATTGTCCAGGTACTGGTGATGTGTCTGAGGTTGGCCTGGGGAAGGGGCGTTATTACACTGTCAATGTGCCCATTCAAGACGGCATTCAGGATGAGAAGTATTACCAGATCTGTGAAACGTGAGACTTTTTCCTATCTAATATGTTTTGTTTGACCATAATATTACAGGGAAGGGAACCTGTAAAATTAATTTTATGATTTTATGTTGCTGTCTTCCCCTCCATATTAGCAATTTAATAAGACAGATAATTTACATGCTGAAATCTCTTCTTGTAGGATTGCAATACAAATAATATATGCTGAAACACTGAGCAAGAATTGGCATCTGTCTGGGGAACAATCATTAAGGGCTTTTAAAATAAATGCTCTGGAATTGCCATTTAGAGAGAGGCATGTTTGGGGATGAGTTGAGATGACTTCAAAACATGTAAGCTGAATTGCATGTGAACTTATTTTATTTTCCTTGAAAGGGTGAAGGACTAAGCACTCCTTGCTGGTAGTGGCACTGTTGGTTTCAGTGAGGCTGATACCTCACCAGAGAGGTACTTGGGACAAATCACAAGTTGTTTATCCCTTTTTAAAATGAAATCTGGGGCCAGTTCTTTTCTAACTTTAACATGTTGCAGTTGGCTGTGAGGCGAGTGGTCATGGAAGCCAACGGTTAAAACCACTTGCATAGTCACTGCCTATAACATGCTTTGAGCTTGCAAGCTTCCTCTCCCAACTCTGTCAGGCTACCTCACTGCTAACTGTACGGTAACCCACTTCCCCACCACTGTATTTCTAGGCTTTTATCACTTTTGAGCATATGCTTACAAAAAGTGAAGTGGCTTTAAAATTTTTCGGTAAATAGCTAAGTGTGTGAATGAAACCATCAAGTGCATTTCCAGGAGTAACTCAAGTTAGGGTTTTAAATCCAAATTAAAAACTGTATGCAGTCTGCATTCTATAAAGCTGGAGTGACCTCTCCATGGCACAAAAGTCTGGGCAGTGTCTATGGAGACACATTGGGTTGCCTGCACAATCGGTGTCCCCCCCTCTCGGCCTTACTGATTTAGTCCAAAGGAAAGACAGGCACCAGTGTGTTTGGAACCAGCTTGGCTGCTGGAGCAAAGGAGATCATCTGTTTGTCCATCTATCAGGGTTCCACTCCTAGCCTGGCTGTTGACCAGAGTTAAAGTCTACCCTATCAGTTCTACAACCTTTTGGTGGCATTTCTTTTGCCAGGGTTAAGACTGGTACCTCCGTCTAAGGTGCTCCTGTTTCCGAAGCCATTGGCATCCTAAAGATTGCCAGGTTATTTAACTACCACCCAGCATTCAGCGTTAACAATTGCAAGTAGTACCAACTACTGCAGGGGTAGGCAACCTCCGGCACAGGTGCCCATGTAGCGCACAGAGTCATTTTGCCTGGCAGATAGTGGAGAAGGGGCTGAGTCTGCGCTTCCACAACAAGGATGGGACTCCTCGTGGCTCCTCTGCTGTCTGCCCCTCACATGCCAACATCTTGCAAGTCAAGGTTGTGGGTGTTTTTGGCACTCTGCCCAAAAAAGTTTGCTGATCCCTGGTCTTTTGTAAATTACAGTAGCAAGTGAATTGGACCTGACACTTACATGTGCATGTAAAAAATAAAATACTTTTAAAATATACTGGTACAAAACTGATGCTGAAGTTTAACATACTAGGAGAAATTCTGCATTGACCCATAGACCATTACGTACTAATTCTGCAGTGTCAGCTATCTGACCTAGAACAAGGATTGTAGACTCACAGGACACTGAAATTCCAGCACATCGGAGCAGACTTGATTAATTGAGTTTGCTGGAGCATGGCAATTGCCATGCTCCAGCAGCCTCCTGCATCTCCTGTATCAGTGTCCCTGTGCTTAAAAATGATGGTGGGGGTGCTTGAACTAAAGCTCATTGAATGAGCTTTAGTTCAAGTACTCCGACGCTAATGCACAAGAGCCAACTAATGCACAAGAGCCAACGATGCTTTAATTAGAGTGGCTCTTGGACCTGCTATAATTAAAGCACCACTCCCCTCCACCCTCAGAGCATGTGGTAAGTGCCCCCATTGTCTAACCATTTGCAAAGTGGTTGTAGTATTTGATGGTGACCTGTGACCGTGAAGTCTATAAGCAGGCTACACCCTGGGCAAAGAATTTCCTCTTATTCTCTTCACCCAAAATCCCTGCTGGTAAGAGAAGACCTGCTCATTGGTACTCCTTTCCCCTTTGGCAAATAGCTAGGCTACAAGCTCCACTTTAGCATTTCTCACCACTGGGAATCAGTAAGATGTTATGCAAAACCATTCCACCTCCCTCTGTCTTGGCAGCAACTGCCTTCCTCGTCTCTATGGAGACTGACCCATGGCAGCACAATGATAAAAATAAATAAAAAAGAAGCTTGCTATTGGAGTCTGAAAGCATGTGCACTTTGAACTTGCCTCTCCATAAATAAGAGTGCTTGTGTTTGAACACTTTTGTTCTAGCTGATAAACTTCTAACTTGCTTCTGGGTGGTATGGCATACATATAATTGCCTATTGTTTCTGGAAATGGAATGACTCAGGATCCAATTAAATTCCATTGTTAATAATAGCTTTGGTGTGGAACTGAGACCAAAGTGTGACATTTATTTTGTTTGAAAATCTGACATGTCTTTGAAATATTGAAGACAAAGGGAGGAAATGTTTGAGAACAGCAATAAGATTGACAGCAGGCAGGTTGGCTGTTCAGCTGTAGTTGCATGCATCAGTTAGATGTATCCAAGACCTGTTTCTGCACACGGTGCTCCAGTAACTCTGGACTTCAGTATTTAAATAGGCCATCCATCAAAAGAAAAATCTGGGAGTGAGTATCATGAATACTTGTGCTTGCTCGCACACTTGCTCAATCACTCGCTCACTCTAGAATCTTATTTAGTTAGTCTATAAAGGTCCTTTTTTGACTGACTTCAGACTAACACAGCTAACTATCTTTCTGTAAACACAAGAGTATCCTGAATAACTCATTTGTTCCATATCCATCCAAAGTGCCTGAATTAAGAAGTCGGATATCTTTGGATAAAATGTATGCACCTTCCCATGTAATTTAAATATAAACCTTCTGGAGAGAAAAATGCAGTATGTGAGAAACTTTACAAGTATAAAACATTACAAGTATAAAAAACCATGCTACAAATAATCTAGAGACTTCTGAGAGCATTATCTATGCTCAGGGGGCTAGGAAGAAATATTTTATAGCATATTGATTCAAATAGTTTCTTTCTGGAGCCCTCACCTCTAGGTATGGGGCATGTATGACGTAAGACTAAACACGCAGATTCCATGTCTGTGGAGGCTCTGAACGGATGTAACAATTGAAGTACTTCAGACAGTGAGTAAGTGGATGTTTGTGACTAAAGAAGCACTTCCAAAAATGGCTGCAGCACTTCAAAAATGATCCTCAAAAAAACGAGGAGTCCTTTTAAGGTGCTTCCTTTTGAAGTGCTTCTTGGAACGTCCATATGCTCCACAGAGTATGACCAGAACAGGGTTTACTCAGTCCTCCAGCATCCTGCCGTGCTCCACTGGAGGAGGCAGTGAAGGGAGGGAACGGGGCACTCCACAAACCTGTGCTCCCTGGTTGGAGAGTGCTCCGTCGGGGGGGGCCACTGGCAGCTCCCATCTGCACAGCACTGAAGTGCTCCAAATTGGAGCAGAATTTGGAGTGCTTCAAATGCTCATCTGTCCATGGCCAAAAAGATCTGATTTGGTAAGTGTAAAGCTCAGTGATGATGTGCATTTTCTTGCTCCTATGACTACCACCCACTCTCTCCCCAGTAGTATGGTCTTACCCAGAGCTGCTGAACTATTTGTGGATGAGGTAGAAGTCGGAGAGGGTGCATCTGGAAACACCCAGAATGCAGATAGAGTTTGGGAGATGAATGCCCTTGGTCCTAACTTGACCAATCCCACATGCCAAACTGTTGCCAGAGGAATCGGCAGCCTTCTGTATCCCAACTGTGGTTTTTGTAGACTGAGTAACCAGTAGTTCTTAACTAGTGCCATGAGACTTTTTCAGGGGTACTGACGCGTAGGTGCTACCAGGCGAAACTGCCTCACGCTTCTTGCGGAGCTAGATTGGGAAAGGTTGTACCAGCTCCTGCTGCAACCCTCAGTAGGGCAGCCAGGGCAGGATGGGGGGCATCAACCCCAGGTGCCAATTTGGAGGGCGTGGCAAAATGGCAGCCAGTCAGGGTGCATAGCCCCAGCAAGGCAGAGTGCAGGGAGCCAGCCTCAGCAATGGCAGCAGGGGTTGTCAGATAAGACCCTCCTGTGTTTATCTCCACTCCCTGCTCTCCCCCTGCCCACCTCCTCCTACTCTCAGGTGCTTGGCACAACAGCCTCATTCTCCCCACCTTCTCCATCTCTGCTCAGTGTGCAGAAATCCTGTGGTAGCCCTTTCCCATCTGGCTCTGCACCAAGGGTGTGAGGCAGTTTCACCTGGCCACGCCAAAGGCAACTTCCTGGTTAAGAAGCACTGAGGTAAGCTGAAGCAGGACAACAGTGTTTCTTAATTGGGGTGCTGCCAAATTTTCAACTCCAGTGGTTCTCAGCTGGGGTGCCCTGAATCTAAACAGGCTGAGAACCACTGGACTAAACAGTAAGAGCAGTGGTCATTCACAGGGCCAAAAACTCTGATCAGTTTTCAAGATCTGTGTTTTCAGTGAGGTAATGCTGGAGGCAGGCAGGAGTGACAAGAATTGCTACTGGAAAGAAAAGCCACAGCAGTAATAGGTGTGGGCAGATGAACAGGTTTAAAGTGGCAGAGGACTTAATGCATGCAAGTGTCTGCCAAGCTGATATGCTGTAACTTTTATCTGTCCAATTTTTCCCACAGTAAGTGCAGTTAAACCACAATGACTTACACTGAATGAAATGGGTGACAAACTATTGCAACTTACTTCCACTTACTGTGGGATAGAATGGAGAGGCATCATAGTTACCACTGATTCAGTTGAGCTAGAGTAGTGGTCACCTACTAGTGGATCTTGATCTACTGGTAGATCTTGGAGCCTCTTGCAGTAGATCTCGGAGCCTCTTGGAGTTGATTCAAGGCTGGGCTGGGGGGGCTGA